CCCCCCCCATTCCACCATCATACCCATCCTCTCCATCCCTGCACTGCATTCCACCATCATACCCGTCCTCTGCACCCCATTCCACCATCATACCCATCCTCTCCATTCCTGCACTCCATTCCACCATCATACCCATCCTTTGCACCACATTCCACCATCATACCCAATGTCTGCCCTCCATTCCACCATCATACTCATCCTCTCCATCCCTGCACTCCATTCCAATTAACAGTGTGACTGGCTCAGTGTAGAGGCGGCGGGGAGGGGCTGTAGGGTGGCGGCGCAGGGGGCCCAGCCTAAAGCCGTGTAAGGGTCCCCAAAATTTCTGATGGATGCCGTGCCCGTGAGTCCCGATCCGTGACAATGGAGAGGGTGAGATGTGTCTTAAAACCTCCCAGCAGAGCCTGGCAAACATTGCGGGGAAGTGTGGGGTGGTGTCGGGTGCACGTTTTAGAGTCCTTGGAAGTGATTGAGCTGATGTAAATCACGTCCAGTGTTAAAGCAACAATTGGCGTATCACATGTAACCATACCCTTGACTCGGACCTCACCTTTCTTCCCCACATCCAATCACTATCCAAATCCTGCCGCCTTCACCTTCGCAACATCTCCAAAATACGCCCCTTCCTCACCAAAGAAACCACAAAATTACTCATCCACTCACTTGTTATCTCCCGTCTTGACTATTGCAACTCCCTCCTCATTGGCCTACCTCTACACAGGATATCGCCCCTTCAGTCTATCATGAATGCTGCTGCCAGACTCATTCACCTAACCAACCGCTCAGTGTCTGCAACCCCCTCTGCCAATCCCCGCAGCAGCTTCCAATAGCCCAAAGGATAAAATTTAAAATATTAACAACAACTTACAAAGCCATCCACAACTCCCCGGCTATATCTTAAACCTGGTCTCAAAGTATCACGCTAACCATCCCCTCCGCTCTTCCAAAGACCTCCTGCTTTCCAGCTCCCTTGTCAACTTCTCCCATGCTCGCCTCCAGGACTTCTCTAGAGTTTCTCCCATCCTCTGGAACTCTGTACCCCAACCTGTCCAACTATCTCCCACTCTGACTGCCTTTAGGTGACCCCTCAACCTAACCACTCAACCATCACGTTCTCAAACAATTCATCCCCACGCAGCTACCTCCTCCTGCATTACTTGCCCCTCCCTTTTAGATTGTAAGCCCTCACAGGCAGGGCCCTCCTTGCCATCTTGTCTTGAATTGTATTGTGATTGTAATGTCTTCCTTATATTGTAAAGCGCTGCACAAACTGTTGGCGCTATATAAATCCTGTACAATAATAATACCCCGTAAATCTGCTTGTTGGGCCCTGCTACTGCTGATGTATGGCTTATGTTGGTGGCAGTGAAAGGGCTAATCCCTTATTTGCCTAAACCAGATTAGAAATTCCCATAATGTTCAGGATGAATGCTGGTAAGATCTAGGCAGACAAATGTGGCCAGATTTGCCTTTTTTTCCCCAAGAATAAAATGTATTACAGTTTTCAAAAAGACATATAAAAGAAAAAGAAAGGTACATAACAGCATACAGATAGTATACACAAAAATAGAATTACATGACCCATAAAGTGCATAGCTATTAATTGGTTGGTGCTGGCATTCAATGCCAAAACAATAAAGAAGTTGACAAAGATGTACGCAAAGCAGGCCCCACATCACCAATGCTGAGATGTCCTGCCCTAGAGAAGGACCATGCACTCATTTACCCAAAGAAAAAGATAAGAAAAAAAGGAAAACTTAGGAAGGTGTGGGGAGGGTGGAAAGGGGGAACCTGGTCGAGGTTTAGAAAGAACGTGAAACCCTCCATAGTAGCTGCAAGCTCTGTTCACAAAAAAGGGTGAAGCCTAGGAAAGGCGGAAAAAACAAAACAAAAACCTCGATCCATGTGCTCAACTTCACCACAAAGGCAGAGTAACAATCACACAAACAAGCCATGAGTTCCTCCACATGCAAGATATAATTGAGTACACAAACCCATTCCTGGATTTGGGCAACAGATGGGGACCTCCAATGTCTGGGGCTTACAACCCTGCTAGCTGAAAGGCGACAAGACAACCAAATGTGGAGCATAGTACCCTCCTCCAAATCACATTGCCAACACCAATCAGGGAGGGAAGGGACTATTTTGTGTAGCACAGAATGGCATCTATACCATCTAGTCAAGATCTTAAAGTTCCTTTCCTGCGCTTGAACCAGTATGATAGATTTAAAAATCGAGAAAAGGTCTTTTCCCGATCAGCATCTGAAATAGAGTGCCCCAACTCATGTTTAATAGCCTAGAGGAGACATACGAGCAACCCGAGTCATTCAAACAGATATGACCACCTAGATTTGCCCTTACTTTTAAAGTGGACCTTTAGATAATTATTTTGTTTGTTTTTGTTTGAAGGAAGAAGGCTTAGAAACTGGGAGGGGGTTGCTGAGTTTTTCTTGACCTGAATTCGAAATTCGAAACATCTAAAAATGTTAATTATTCCTTACAACCTTACCTTAAATTCCTCCTGAAAAAATATCAGTACACTTCCTGATATGTGAGGGTGTATAGGCACTCCTGTATATCTGCAGTGTGAGATCATCTAAGACACTGCTGTCTGTCCCTGCTAGTGGGGATGAGGTTTGGGTTCACTGCTACCATGGATTTAAAGCAAAGCCTGATTGAAATGCAAAGTCTCAAAGGATTTGCCCAGGAGAAATCTTTCAAACAATGATACACTGCATGGCATTTGACATAGAAGGGGACTTTGTTGATACCAAAAATACACATTTCCCAGCACACTTACCAGCTAGCCTGCAAAAAGAAAACAATGACACTGTCTAACTTTTAGGGTTAAAAACAGAGGTTTTAGTTGCACAACTTTTGCAAAATATGTGGAAGCCACACTGCCTCATCAAGGCTCCTCTCTGTAATGTGGTCCTAACTCTAATCTATGAGAGCCTCCATCTTGGAGCATATATATAGCAAAGGATGAATTGGGTGATGGTTCTCCACGAAGGCAGCCCATTCCTCCTAAAAAGCACAGGGACACACCAGAAGCCCAGTACATCACAATGGCAGCTGAAGCCCCCATTGTGTCCCCACACCAAATCCAACAAAACAAATATGGCAACCACATCAATTTGTAACTAGCCTTTAGCAAGGTGCACATGGATGCAATATTACTTATAATCCTCACTCAGGCTCCAGCACTGTCCTCTTCCCAGTGATTCTCCCAGTTGTGGTCGGTCCCTCAGCTGATTGTATGTGAGATGGTAAGCATGCGACTAGGGCTTGGTCACTAACACCCCACTTCCAGCCCACATAATTGTGGCAGAGGAATTACCTGTCACTTTGTGACATGTAGTTGAAGGGCAAGGAATGCCCCGGTGGCACCTCATTGGGCCAAAAGGGATGTGTGTCAGTGGCACGTGCTTGGTCAAACTTGGTTTGCACCAAGCCCTCAGCACATCACTATTTCTCATCTCAAAAAGTCGGGATTTATGTTAAAAAAGGTTTACTTTGAAGCACAACACACACAGGCATCTTAGCATTCAGCACATGCTAGCTCATGGGGCAGGGACACACTTGGTGCACTGCAATGCATTCTGAATGGCATCCCAATGCTAGGGTTGCCACCTTTTCTTCAAGCAAAATCCGAACACTCTAGCGATGAGTCCTGGCTTATTCATATGTAAATAGCGCCACACATTCATATGTAAATACCACAGTTGAGACTATTTTTAGTAGGTGGCCAGTAGCCCCTATCTTAATTTTGGTTGCCCCTGTCTGCCTAACATCTTGTGTCCGGGTTTCTGCTGCCATAAAACACAGCATTCATAACCCGGACTGTTCGGGTGAATCCTGGAAGGTGGCAACCCTACCCAATGCACCCACCGGCTACCTTTTTTATTTATTTAATCAAAGGATGACAATAAATGCTATTGTGATGCTGTGTGTTGCATGGCATTGCAAAGCATTCTCATTGGGAGCTGCCATTCAGAATGAATGGCAATGCAATAGCACAGGCTACTGTGCATTGTGAGATGTTGCTCGCAAAGCAGGCAGATCCCACACATTAGTGCAATACTACTGTATCAATGTGCTCAGACTTACAATTTGGTATAATTTCCAGCTACAAATGGGTTTTACGTGTCTCAGTGATACTGACATGTTCCACCCCTCCCTGTCACCTATCAGATCAAAATCACACAGGGTCACGAATTGCTTCTAAAGTGACATTTTAACAAACAGGCCCCGCCCCACGAGAGCCACGTGTTCCCCACCCACCGGGACACCTTGGGGATCTTCCGCTTCCCGCCTTTACAGTACAGCCCACAACTTCGCAACTGTCCAATTACCTTTCTAGTGGCTAAATATGGTTTGTAATCGACACGCTCCTTATCCAATAGGCGCCTCCTTTCCAAAGTGACGCAGACAATCTGCCCAATTACGCTGAGGACTAGGCGGGGTGGCCTTTGTGAGTGTGAAGGTGTCTAGGAACGCTGACGGCTCTTTCGTGTGAAATATGGCTCCCAGAGAGGGCACCGAGCGGGGCTCCGTCATGGACGGGATTAGGGCTATCCTTCTGGGGCCGCCAGGAGCCGGGAAGGGGACTCAGGTAAATAGTGTAGCAGCATTTATGTTTCTTTAATTGTGCACGGTGTGTGAAGCTCAGCCGAGTTCACATTCTCTGCCAGCGACTACGATGCCTGCACGGGGAGGAGGTGTAATGACGTGGCACGCTGTGATTGGGCAGCCTACATTTCGGCGTGCTATTGTAATACGTACCCGGGTGAGTGAATGGTGAGTTCAGCCTGTCAGATGCTATAGCTGCTGGCTATGCAGTGGCGTAACCAGAGTTCTGGGCGCCCGGGGCAGAATTTTTTTTTCGCCCCCACCCGCCCATTATATAAACAACCACTGGAACTGTACCCTGCACCTCCCCCACACACACACATGTTTTTATTTTAATTTTTCAAATTTTAATATTTTTTATTTTTTTTGAAACTTTCATTTTTTTAAATCAATTTTTATTTATTAATTATTTTTTTTATTAAATATTTTTATTTTTTACTTTTAGGGGCTTCGGGGAAATATTGGGGGTCTAAACAGACCCCTGATATTTAGGAAAATGTCACTTTCGGCATTCAGCCGAAAGTGCCATTTTCGGCCGGCGCCCCCCCTTCACTTTTCGCCCGGGGCCAGCGCCCCTGCTGCACCCCCGGTTGTTACGCCACTGTGGCTATGAACTGCCTTTTATAATCATTGAGACATAAGCACTGGCTACACGCCATGAATGTGGGCACTTCGTATATAGTTACACGAAGCCGCCTTGTTATAGGGATGGTTCGTGATTGGAGATCATAATCACCATTTCATCTAGCAGGCTGCATACATGTGATCACAAGTCAAGTCCCAGCATGGCATCAAACCTGCCTCATTTACCCAGAACTATGGTAATCTAAATTAACACTGCACAGTTCAATATAAAAATAAATGTCTATGACGTGCATGGATTAAAGCAGAACTCTGGGTAAATAAAATCATAACCCTTGAAGTGGGGCCACACTGCAAGGGTTAAGTGCTGGACTTGTCTAGTGAGTTAAAAAGTTTTATATTCACCCGAATCACGATCCTGGCTTGCTCTTAGACTGTTTCCTTCAGCCCCGCTCCCCCTCTGCTCAAGAGGTCCTGTGAGTCCCCACATTCTATACAATGTATAGAATGTGAGGACGCTGATGGAGATTTCCATCGCTGGAGCGGAAGGAGAATGAGGCGGAAGTGCCCAGTCTAAGAGCAAGCCAGGATCCTGATTCGGGTGAGTATAACTTTATTTTAACTCCCTAGACAAACCAAGATCTTAACCCTTGCAGTGCAGGGGTAGCTCCACTGCAAGAGTTAAAGATTTCATTTGCTCCGAGTTCTGCTTTAAAGCCCAACTGTGACAGCACAAGGAAGAAAAGCTACCCTTGTACTGGGTTTGCACCACAGGAATAGAGGAGATAAGGAGTAAAGCTGGCCGTACACTCCTAGGCCATGGTATTCTGACAGTTGAACAATGGATTAAACTGACTGGCTCCAGGCGTTATTGCACCAATAATTTTTGTTTTCTTCAACAAAATTAGATTGAAAATTGCCTTGAATGGAGTGGTGTTGACAGGGCCACTTAAAGCTGAAATGTGGGTCGAGTCAGCAGGATTTGGTTGACTTTTGAGAAGTGTACAGCTAGCTTAATCCTTGCCTTATTTCTTGCTTTGTAAGGCTCCTTTTATCTCTAAAGGTGGCCATCAAAACTTGTCTGTCAGCCAGCATTCCATAATCAGCTGATCAAAGGAGGCGGCTGGAAAGTCTTCGTATGATCAGAGCTGGCAGCCAATGAGCTGCCCGCTCTGATCGGGTGCCGGCGGCACCGGTCAGAATACAATGCAAACATCGGCAATTCCTCGATGTTTGTGTTGATGGAGGAATTGCGTTAATTGTTTTCGTTCAGCCCGCAGGTTGTATGAAAAAAAATTGCTAGGTGTATGGCCAGCTATAGATTGGTCCCCTGAAGCCTCCTCTCTAAGGCGCTCCAGGCGGTGGTCTCACGCGTGCCTCTGCACATAGCAATGCAGGACTAAGGCCTCCTCCACACGGGCAATTGAACACGTGAATAGATTACTACTAGTGTTTAAAACGTTTTTCTAAATGAATGTATGGATCTAATGATTTTATAATGGATTTATTCACATGTTGTGATTACATGCCTTCAGCTGTGGTCAGTTTACCTGCGTTCAGGAAAAATACAAGTCTGGTGTGTCTAGGATCTGAATAGAACTCCTGAATGCAAGTAATGTGCTTAAACCCACTTTAAAGGTGAACTATGGGGTAAGTGTTTTCCCCCATAGTTCTCCTAAAGGGTCACGGGAGGACATAAACTAGCGTCCTCACGTGACCCAAAGCTCAGTATACCGCCAGCTACAGCTCGCATTATACTGAGACCGACACAGCCAGGGGCGATCCAGACAATGCTGTCGAGATCCACCCAGCTGCGTGATTGACAGCTGGCTCTACCTATCTAGAGACAGCTATACCCGCCCCCCTTCCCTGTCCGTTCCGCCAGTCAGCGCTGGAGAGGAGGGGGGGAATCCCTGCAGGGAACCGTGAGTTGACAGTCACTGCTCTCTGCAGGGAGATGATCGAGAAGTGAGCGAGCGACGGTATGTGTTTGCTCACTTCCCGATCTATTGAGCCGACGTGTGACAGTTTCATTGTCTAACGTTGGCTCAAACTATGAGGTTGAGTGAAAATCACTCACCGCATAGTTATCCTTTTAAAGCAGGAACATCTAAATGCAGGAAAAAGTGATGAATGTGCGGAGCCTAAAAGTTGTTTATACTTCCCACATAACTGCGCATGTGTTTAGAAAAGCTAAACACAGGAGTGCCAGTGTGAATGCATTGAAGTAATTGTCCTGCATTGTATGTGATAAAGCCAAGGGGCTGCCTATAGCCCAAAGGGTCAGGAAGAATAGCGCACCAGAGCAAGGATTAAGGTAAGTAATAAAGCTTCTCTACCCCCTAGAATTAATGAATATTTAATCCTTATGTCTGGGGTTGGGAGGCACTACAAAGTGGGTTTTTTCCCCTCAATTCCAGAGTTGGGGTTTTAAATGTTATTTTCAAATGTGGATAGAATGATGAGCAGACATATTCAAAAACCTAATATTAAAGTGACATTAAACCCTCAGATTTTTTAACATAAACCAATACTGTAAAGTGTACCTTACTGTAATCCATGGAAATAACCCATAAAAGCAAATCTGATATGGTTTAGGTAAAGTCTGATTTTCTATGATTGCTCTTATGAAGAAGCGTATGACATAAGTCCAATCCTGCTGGCTGTGCCGTCTATAGGGGTTCACAGCACATGGTGTAAGACCAGGAATTCGGCACTCCCAGAAATGTCTTCTTGGCAGGGAACATTTTATTTTAGCAGCAGAGTTAAATGAATGTATGCTGTTTTTTGTATATTGGATTTGGATAGAAAAAGGAAAAGTTAAAATTCCTGTAATTTCTATTTTCTGCTGTGTATGTTTATCTTATTTCGAAGATTTCACTGCAATTTCTGTTTTAGGCTCTGTTCACACCTAGCGTTTTGTGGTGCTTTTCTGTCCTAAAAAATGGCCAAAACAAAATCCCAGTCATTTCTATGGCTATGTTCACATCTGTTTTGCTGCTTGTAGCAAAACGCCCATCGCTGAAAAAAGTACACGAGCTTCTTTATGGCAGATTAAAGGAGAACTATGGGGTCAGTGTTTTTCCCCATAGTTCTCCTTAGGGTAACGGGAGGACACAAACTAGCGTCCTCCCGTTACCCTAAGCTCAGTATACCGCGAGCTACAGCTCATCGGTATACTGAGACGCCGGAGCCGGTCCCGACGTAGATGACGGGATCCGCCCAGCTGCGTGAGTGACAGCTGGCTCTGCCTATCTAGAGGCAGAGCCAGCTGTACCCGCCCCCTTCCCCGTCCGTTCCGCCAGTCAGGCGCTGGCAGATCGGAGAGGGGAATCCAGCCCCTCCCCCTGCCACGGCAGAGAGCCGTGACAGGATCGAGAGGTGAGCGAACCAAGTATGTGTTCACTCACCTCCCGATCTACTGAGCCGACCTGTGACAGTCTCTTTGTCACAGGTCGGCTTAGAACTATGAGGTGAGTGGAAATCACTCATCTCATAGTTCTCCTTTTAAGTTCATTTGGTCTCATAGACTTCAATTGACACACTCAAAAACGCACAGTTGCATGCATAATACATGCATTTGTCCAGTTACATCAAGGCGTCACAATCTGCTTGCAAAAAGTGCAACTTAGTACATGCGTATAAAATGTGCACAGAAACATGCAGCTAAAACGAGTGTAGAAACAAGCACAAAATGCTGTCACCTAGGTGTGAATGTGGCCTTGCATCAGGAAGTGAGTGCATTGTAGACCATGCCAATGAGAAATCCCTCAGCTGTCACCTGATGAGGAGTCCCAATTAAATTATTCACCCTCGCCTCTAGTTCTGGGGACACATTTGAATTTCTCTTCACTATCTGTTCTAGGATATACAGAGGGTGAGAATCTAGCAGCGACGCAACCCTTGACAGGGTTTCTGAGCTTTCTCCACTAAGTTTTCACTATAGATAGACATTTGATGACTTTTGAGACATTGTTGTACTTCACATTAAGTTTAGTGAGCTTGGTTATACATTGAAGTGTAAACCTAAAGAAATAAACTGAGTCCAATGCAAAATGCCTGAAAACCTTAGCTTGTCATTTGCATGTGTGTAAGGGGGTTCTCTGGGTAAAGTACATTCTCTGCAGTGACTGCCCATCTTGAAGCAGATCAATATCCTGCGTGGACTATGCTTTCATTGCTCATGTTACATAGTGCATACATGTGGTGACCTGTGAATGCAGATTACTTCATCTTTGTCCCAGCAGTTATTTTTAAACCTATACTGAAATATACCGGCACTAATTGCTGATGTCCTTGAAAATGTTGGATGACTCGCTGTCTCTGCACTTCAGTAGTTTCTAACCCATCATGGCAACATGGGGTTAGGTTCAATGATGTTTGTCATGGCAACATGGGGTTAGGGATGTCCATTGAAATTACAGATGGCATAGCACACATGCGGGGGGCCAAGCCCAGGCCATTATGGTCTTCTGCTGGTAAGTGAAAGTCTGCTTTGCCAGCAAAATGGTCTAGGATAGGATTTCACATATTCTCATTGATTAAAATTTTTTATCCAGAAGTAATCTGTGGTGAATCATGAAACATTATTGTTTTATATGTGACTTCATTTAAGATGTCTCCGTTTATTTTAGGCTCCGAAACTAGCAGAAAAATACTGTGTTTGTCATCTGGCCACAGGAGATATGTTAAGAGCTATGGTGGCATCGGGATCACAGCTGGGAAAACGTCTAAAAGCTACAATGGATGCAGGAAAACTAGTAAGTGTTTGTCAGTCACCTGCTGGAATGCATGTTGCTGTAAACATTGTTTGCTAACAATTTGTGTGATGACTTTCTTCTGTCTTTAGGTCAGTGATGAAATGGTCGTAGAGTTGATTGAAAAGAATCTGGATACACCTCCGTGTAAGAAGGGATTCCTGTTAGATGGATTTCCTCGCACTGTCAAGCAAGCAGAAATGGTAACGCCTTTTGGATGAAAGGAGCATAAAATCCTCTACAGATAATGCAGTCACTCAGCTACATTAGTGAACCAGGAAAACTTAGTATTTAGGAATGTATTTAACTTAGATGCAGATTTGTTTCTAAATGAAGCATAGAGGCTGATATTGTTGACATCTCACTCTGCAAACAATAGTTTGAAACATTATCCCAGGACAACACTTCATATCGGGCACCAGAGCCTAGCACATTAGAGCCTTCTTAGAACAGAAGGTACTCGCATGTCTCTTTCCATCCTGGATTCAAAACATAAGGGCATTATTCCTCATTTCAAGGCAGTGGGCAGAGCTGTATATATTATTCCTTTTAGTGCCAGTGGCTCATTTTCCATACAGAAGTGTTGCTGTATATTACAGATGTAGTCTAATTTTATAGAACCATGTATTCCAAAGGCTTGTTGGTTCAGTGCGGTGTGTTGAAACAATGGCTTTTGTGGAATAGGGCTTGGCAGCCAACAAGAATGTAGTTACTCAGAAGCTAATAAGACGGGACTAAAAAAAACCAAACAAGCCCTCCACTGAACCAATGTGTAGCACAATAATGCCTTTTTAGAACAACTAGCCAACTGAGCAAAAAAGAATGGGAAAGAAAAAGGCTCTACTGTGCTACTCATTGGTAACTGGAGGGCTTTTCTTGTCCTTCCTGCTTGCCATAACCTTCTGGGTTATCTTTGTACAGCTGGGTGACAGTTTCTCCGAAAACAAAACAAAATAAAATGCATCAACAACTTCCACGTTTTGGATGTTGAGCTGGGCTGACATCTCACTGCTCATCTTTCATTTAAACAGTTGGCGAATGAGTTACAAAAATAAATTAAGAACTCAGTCAAAAACACTAGATAAAATGAAAGATAAAGATAACATAAAAAAACAGCTTTTACTGGAATATTTAGCTTCAATACAGAGATTTCCACTGGGGTACTTTTTCTGCTACTAGATGTCCTCAAGTTTGATGGTTGGCAACATTCAGCCCACTTCCTGCGAACCCAGGTTGTCTTGCCCCCCACCTCGGCTTGAGCCTGGCACAGTGAAAGGAGAAGCAGCTCAGTGATGAGCTCATCTCTCTGTCACTCTGTCTTTTCCTTGTTTTCTTTTCCTTGTTTTCGTGTCAGTTCATGAACTGATGGGCTCTCTGTACTACTTCTTCCTCTCACAATTCAGCCTTTTTGTACTGGGACTGCAATAGGCTGATACCAGGTCAAATTCAGGTACTTGCACTGCTTGCATTAAAAATAGGGCTGTGGAAATTAAAGATTCATTTCTCGATTAATCGTTAAACTTTTTGATCGGTTAAAATAATTTTGATCGCTAATGAAAACACTGGCCTCTCCGCCGGCTTCCGGGAGACCCGTCGGAGATCCGGTGAAGTCACGGACATTGACATCACCGGACTCCTCCCCCCTTTCCCCAAGTGGCTCCGTCGGCTAACGAAGGGAAGGGGGGAGGAGTCCGGTGACGTCTATGTCCGTGACGCCTAACGAAGGGGAGGACTCCTCCCCCCTTCGTTAGCCGACGGAGCCACTTGGGCTGGTGAGTTTGCCCAAGAAACTTTCTGCACGAGCGCCAGCCAAGGCATTGGCCTACACACATACAGCACAGCAATGAAGTAATAAAATGAACTAGGATCACACTAATCCGGCACGTTATTATTCTGAGTTGCCCCACTCAAGCGGCGGCCATATTAGGCGGGGCACGTGAGATTAATAACGTGCTGGATTAGTGGGATCCTAGTTCATTTTATTACTTCATTGCTGTGCTGTATGTGTATAGGCCAATGGAGTTGGATCTGTATGTACGTTTATAATCAAAATTAATCGATTAAAAAACATTTTGATTAATCGAACACGAAAATTCTAATCTTTACCAGCCCTAATTAAAAACAAATTATGCATTTATGATAACACAGCTGCATCAATTTGTGTCATCTATATCTGCCTAAAGCTTTAAAGTGGGAGTAAAGCACCAGGCTAAATTTAAAATATTGACCCCCTGCCCCCCCCCAGGAGGTTTTCGCCATATTATGCAAGTATGCACGCAATGGCAGCGCTACCTAGCAAAACGATCCGCTCCAGCACTGTAATGTCAGCATTCCCCTCCATCTCTTTCATTTTTCTCCTGGTCTTACTAAGGCCTGGTTCACACCTGGGCTCAACATGTGAAAACCAATAATTGCCTATGGGCATGGTTCCACCTGGGCGTTTTACAGCACGTAGGAACGCGCTGTAAAACGCCCTACGCCCAAAGAAGTACAGGAGCTTCTTTGGGTTGTATTTGTCACGCGTATCCATTAGGATACAGCGGGATAGCCCTCGGAAACGTGCGTTTGTCACGCGTTTCTTTTACCGCAAATCGCTGTAAAAACGTGCAGCAAAAGCACATATTCTGTACGCCTAGGTGTAAACCCAGCCTAAAGGTTCACAGTTTTCGGTCTATTGATTGGCTGGGCCTGGATGATGCAGAGACTGTACACTGAGCTGTACATGCACGGCTCAGTGTAAAACCTATAGAAAAAAGTGCTGACTGGAAGGAGGAAGAGTCTATGGCAGGAGAAACCTACAGTCTTTTCTGTCATTAAAAAAAAAAAACCTGCCTGTCACCACTTAAAAGACTTCACTTTTTTACTTTGCAGATATAGCAGCCAATAAAGTGTTATATTTTCTATGTTGTAATATGAAGTTGTCATTCCTGTTCCTTTTTAGCTTGATGAACTTCTTGAAAAGCGTCAAGAAAAACTTGATTCAGTCATCGAATTTAGCGTAGACGATTCTTTGCTTGTCAGGAGGATCTGTGGCAGGTAACCGCAGCACAATATTTCTTGGATTCACTCAATCTAAGCCTCTTTGGTGTTTCAGATTGTGCTTCATTACTGTGTCAACTTTTTCCTTATCTGTTTATGTAGACTGATACACCAATCAAGTGGGCGGTCATACCATGAAGAGTTCAATCCTCCCAAAGAAAACATGAAAGATGATGTGAGTTTACAGTGCAGGCACTACACCGACATTTTACTAGTCCTTAAATACCATTGAAAAGTCATGCTTTCTAGACCTTGACAGTAACACATCTGTATTTATCAAAGAACCATACCAGGTATTTCACATGTGAATCTGAGGAGTGCTGGAATACCTACAGTGTTGGTAGTCCCTGAGGGCTGGTTTTGAAAACGGCTTTCTAGACCACATAAAATAGGAATTAATCAGCTTCTGTTTAAGTCTGAGACGCAGAAGCTGTGCACACTCACACTCTGCTTCCCGCAGCTCCAAGTTTTGACAACTGCGCACAGTGCACAGCCTCGGCGGCACACATGATGGATCCAGGTCCTTACATCATCTGTGTGTGGCTTTTGGAGCTGGGAAGCAGCGTGAGAGGGTGCATCACTCCTACATCTTCATAGACTTACATGAGCTGCCCCCATGCTTCTTTATGCAGCTCCAAGTGTATAAGGAAACTGCCTTTTACACTGTATTGGGCAATGCTCTCTGTGTGAATTAGGCTTTATTCTTTCAGTCTAAGAGCAGTAGATATGCAGTCCAGAACCTGATGTCATGTGAGATTGTGGCTTCAGCATATTGCTCTTTTACAGCATACATTTAGACCTTATTTGAACAAGCTTTCACTGCATTGTGTGACCAGAGTTTCAAATGAACCTGTCAATAAAGGAATTTTAGAAGCTGACCTTTTTTTAAGGTACAACAGCTCCCAGGGCTGTCATCCTGGTTTTGTCTTTCATTTCCTGGCAATTTACTGAACTGGAACAGGCAACTGCATATCAGGGGTAGGGGACCGGATATGCAAATTATTTTTCCTTGGTAGTGGATCACTTGATAGTGAACAGAGGATAATGACAGCCCTGGAATTTGCATGTTTTAATATATTTATAGCATATCTGTTCTGACAAGTTGCCTTTCAATTTTCTGGTTTCCCTCCAACAAAAATCTAAGAAGAAAGAATAGCCACACACTATTCAGCATGTCCCTTATTGTTAGAGCAAAGAGAACCAGAGAACTGGAAACATTTTTCTGCTCATAGAAGGGGCTGTATTCTGCTATTGAATGGAAGTTTATATTCTATGAGCAGAATGCACATATTGCTTAATGAACTTAACCTTTGAATTGCGCACTTGCTGGCTTTTGCTGGGCTACTATTGTTAGGGGCTTCTGTTCTGCCTTTTTCTATGATTTTGCATTCAGAATCTTTTGACTGGCAATTACTAGGGCTTATTTATACAAATGCTAACCTCTCCACAGGTGACTGGTGAGCCTTTGGTGAGACGCTCTGATGATAATGAAGTTACTCTGAAATCCCGGCTGGAGGCCTATCACACTATGACTGCTCCCCTTGTGGAATATTACCAACGCCATGGAATCCACACAGCAGTAGATGCTTCCCAATCTCCAGATGTGGTATTCGCAAGCATCCTGGCCGCTTTTTCCAGAGCTCGCAGTAAAGACCTTGTTATATTTTTGTGATTATTTTTATTTTGTGCAAATAAGGTTTCAATGACTTTTCAGCAGCTTCCAGAACATAATTATTCTCTTGTCTGATCAAATGGACATCTTGTTTCTGAAGGAATGTTATAAACTTATGTGCATACTTATATAACTATTAGCAAGCAACTCTTGCTGTCATACCTCCAATAAACATGCTGGCAAACTCAATACTTTTATATTTTTCTAATTACGGAAATTCTCTATCACCCTTATCTTTATTTTCTCTTTTTTTTTTTTTCCTGTGGTTGTAAAGCTTTAGACTTCATTTTTTTATATTTTAAAATACATTCTTTTTCTTTTATTCATTCTAGCTCACTGATTCCCAGTCATCCCAGAAGTGTGTTGTCTGCAGGCCCCAAACCCTGTGCACTAGGGCACTGCACAGTAGACTGATGATTGAGTACCCTTGTCAACTCCTCTCCCGCTGTTGTCTCGCTGTGTATTGTGGTGCTCCTCCCATTCTCACAAATCCCCTCCTCTGCATTCTTCATCATCATCATCATAATAAGTCTTAAAGCTTCTTCTGTGGTAGAAGCTACAGTGTTTTTAACCTCATTGTTGAGGTACGTGTGACTGGATCATTATCCATGCAAAATGCCTGCTTCATCACTCAGGTACTAACAGTGCAGGTCTGATTGCAAAATGAGATGTGCACACACTGTAGAATTGGACATTAGAACCAAATTTTTTTTAAATCCTAAATCATGAATGTTTTGCACTTTTCTGAAATATGAGATGATTTCCAGTCTAGGTTTTCTGTCGGCTCTAGTATTCTCGTGGTAGGTAATCCACCTCCGTGCAGTATAAAGGGCTCATTTGTAACATGACCTATGACAATCTCACAACATTTCTAACCTTGGATGCTGCCTCTGTGCCTAAATCGTTCTTTATTCTCAATCACTTGTCTCTTTTACTCGGAGGTGTAACATCCAGTGCCTTGTATAATTACTGAAGCAATAAATGGTGTGCAGGTGTGATCCAATTGTAGTATTTTTTTGTTTAAAAAAAGCAAATGCATTTAGGCTATTATTTCTGAGGTATATAATATACATATTACACTGTCAACAGAGTGGAATAAACATATTAAGATACATAGGGAGGTGTAATTTAAGATGTGTCATTGATCTCATAATGTTGTGATAAGTCACAAGCACATGTTCCAATAGCCACCCTTGGACTATCCTTACATTGCATGCTATTTGCAAGAGTTCAGAGCTTTTGCAATTTACTAAGAACCAGATACTGTGTATCATTCTTAGAAGATAGAGCCAGCACTTCAAGCAAGGCCTGAATCAACCATAGTCAAATATACCCATTAGGATTCATATACGTTGTACATGGACTTCATAAACTCACAAATCTGTCTTTTTGCAGGGCACACAATTGTGACAAATTTCTTCCAGTCACAGAATGATGTCTTCTAGTCATGGATGTTTCTGTAAAACTGGATGCATAGTTCTAGAACAAGTTTGCAGTTGGCTTGTTATGTTAGCACAGTGTGTTGATACATCTAGAAATTAAAAAATAAATAATATTCTGCACAAAGGTGTCCAAAGAAGAAAATCGGACACTCTGTAGGGCAGTAGTAGATAAATTAATGTAGACAATATAGCCAGAAGTTCTATGTAAAGGAGGTAAAGCATATGTTAATATTAGAAAAGGATAAATGCACATTTAAAACAAAATAAAAAATGCTGGAACATATCTGAGTACTACTGCACCATATTATGGCAAAAAGAGCAACATTTTTAACTTGCCTGAGCCAGATTAACTCATCACTTGAATCGGAGAGAATATCATAGTAGGTCCCAGGGCTTTGGCAATACAAGCAAGAACAGGCAAATATCTCACCACCGGTAAGCAAGCAAGGACACACACACACATATTTCACCAGCTATGACTTTTTCATGAAGAGATCTGTTGATCAAAGTGATACTCTGCAACGTAATCTGCAAAATGTATACACCCATGCTGGACAGCATTTATCTGAAGGTTGGTGTCTTCTACCATTTCTTACCAGACAAGCTAGTATTTGCAAATAAAGGTGGTTTGAGATGTAAGTCTCTATCACTTAAAGTAAATATGATGCTGCATGAGTTTTATACATTTACCATTGTCACATACAATTAGGTGCAGAAAGTTTATCAATGAGTATGTCTGTCTTTAAAGGAAAGTTTTCCCTGAGAGTCTAACATGGCTAATATCTCATTCTGCAAATGTTAGTTGCCTGTGTCATAGATGGAATTAAATTCGATACTGTACTTATCCTAGAAGAAAAAAGGTTAAGATGCACCATGTAGTATAATGCTAGAGAAACTGACGTGGACACAAGAGTGTCTGTATAGCAGTTTCTCTAGCATTATGCTACATGGGTGCACCTTAACCTTTTTCTTCTAGGATAAGACTGTTATGCAGTCCTCTCACGGTTCTCTAGAAAGGCTTAAAGGAGAATTATGAGGTGAGTGCTTTTCACTCACCTCATAGTTCTAGCCGACCTGTGACAATGAGACTGTCACAGGTCGGCTCAGTAGATCGGGAGGTGAGCGAACACATACCGGGTTCGCTCGCCTCTCGATCCTGTCACGGCTCTCTGCCGTGGCAGGGGGAGGGGCTGGATTCCCCTCTCCCCGCTCCGATCTGCCAACGCTGACTGGCGGAACGGATGGGGGAGGGGGCGGGTACAGCTGGATCTGCCTCTAGATAGGCAGAGCCAGCTGTCACTCAAGCAGCTGGGTGGATCCCGTCATCTACGTTGGAAACCGCTCCGGCTGCCGTGTCTCAGTATACTGCGAGCTGTAGCTCGCGGTATACTGAGCTTAGGGTAACGGGAGGACGCTAGTTTGTGTCCTCCCGTTACCCTAAGGAGAACTATGGGGAAAAACACTGACCCCATAGTTCTCCTTTTTAATTGAAAGAATTCCAGTCAAAAAATAAAAGATACAAATAGAGTATTAATGGATACAGTTAAATAAGCAGCCTTTTTCTGCAATATTCATCTACAATCTAGAGCAGTGTTTCTCCACCTGTCTAACCTCAGGACCCACATTTGTCCTTGGTAATTAAGTCATGACCCAAGTCGCACCGCATTGGAACGCACGGCATTGCGGTACCGCACATTCCGTTGCGGGCGATCAAACTGCGGGCAGGAGGTATGTTTGGGGTGCCATTCAAATGAATGGCAATGCAGCCACCTCACCAGAATTTGCGGTAGGTGCGATTTTGCATGGCACAACGTGGTAATCGCACTGGACTGTGCAATTAACACTGTACTAGTGTTAACGGACCCTCAAAAACACTGAGAGACACACACAACCACAGACACAATCTCACACACTCAGGCATTCACACACACACTCCAAAAAAAAAAAGTTTTATTTTTTAAGATCCACCCAGTATCCATATCTTATCAAGAACTGGGGTTGTCCCTCCGGTCCAGTGGGGGCTGCTGTGATGGAGCTCCGTCCATATTGCTATGGTCCCCAAGAAGAGCAGGGGACCTCGAAAACCATGGCGGATGGTGGTGTACAATGCCCATCAGTGTCCCCTGTCATATTGTCTCCTGTCAATGCAGATATTGTGGGGGGGCCGGGGGCATTAGCATGGTTTTCTACTTGCAGCACAGCCCTTCTAAGGCCCCCCCACATCTTCTGCACTGACAGGAGACAATATGACAGGGGACACTGATGGGCATTATATGGGCTTGGACAACATAATGTCCATCAGCGTCCCTGGTCATTGCAGAAGGAGGGGGTGGGGGTCTGGGGGGGGGCATTAGCGGGGGCTCTGTTGCAAGTAGAAACCCCCCTCCCCCCAGCTTTTGCACTGACAGGTGACATTATGTATTGCAAGCCTAGTCTGTTGTAGTAACATTTGTTGTTTTTTTCATTACCATTACAAATGCTAATCCAGCTAACTATACACATCCCCCTGCCTGCCTACCTTTCTCAGCTTCCAGGCAGACTGAACTACCAGTCCTATTTGATATCAATCTGCCGCACTGAGGTGGCTTGATATCTGCTGTACTCCAGGCCGGGACTTTAACTTTCTTGTCGGGACTTGCAGGGCTGCTCCATGCAGGAAGGGCGACGCGACCCACTGCAGAAGGGCTCGCCACCCACTTTTTGGGTCGCGACCCATGAGTTGAGAACCAGGGATCTAGAGCCTGGTGGGTCGTGACCCAAAAGTGGGTTGCCACCATGTTTTCAGTGGGTCGCCACATACCTTCCACTTTTCTAGGTGAGAGGCTCCTCTGCCTCCCCCTAGCGCAGCACTGTCAGTTTTCGCAACAAGCAGCTATTACCAGCTTGAAGTGGGATGGGGTGGGGCTATGGCCGTGAGGGAGCTACATCCATGCGAGCATTACTTACAGCTCCCTCACGTGTCCTATAGAGGTGCCATGGTGACATCACATTCTGGCTCCGGACACCTCTACAGGGCACGCAAGGGAGCTGTACAAGCAAAGCACATATGGATGGAGCTCCATCACAGCAGCCTAACTGGACCCCCCAGGCTGAGGATCCACTCAAGTTCTCATAAGGTAGGGAGACTGGGTGGACCTTAAAAAGAAAAAATAAATAATTAAACATTTTTTGGAGTGTGTCAGATGTGTTTTTGAGGGACTGTTCACACTACTGCAGTCATTAAATCGCATAGTACCATGTGAATAACGCACTGTACCACGCAATCGCAGGAGTCAGCGCTGGATCGGAGACCCACCGCACCGCTGGAGGCACAGATGAAAACATCAGAAAAGAAGATCGGATTAAGAGACATCAGTGAAGGTAAGTGCTAACATTAACATTGGGTGGAGAGATAAAAAAATTTTACTTTAATGTCACTTTAACCACTTCCAGGCCGCAGTACGTCTATAGACGGTGGCACGCAGAAGTGGTTAAAACAAGAACACGGCTGCTCTTGGTACCGCTTTTAACAGCAGGCGATTGCTGTATGACTTACAAGCAATCGCCTGCTGAGGACTACAAATCTCAGCAGTACTTTATACAGAAATGCTATTGTTATATAAAGTATTGCTGGGATGTGTAGTCCTCTATAGCCTGTGCCATTCTGTATTGCTGTATATATTAGGGCTGCACCATATATTGGCCGCCAAAACATATTGGCCGAAAATGGCACTTTTGGCATAATGCCGAAAGTGCCATTTTTCTGCTTATATAGCGGTGCATCCCTGCTTTCTTTTTCCCCCGCTGGACGCTGCTCCGTCTCCCAGCGGGGAGGAGAGAATGTGACAGCCGGCCAAGCGCTGCGGAAGGAGAGCGCTGTGGTTGTGGGGGTTTTTTTGGGGGGAGGGGGGGCCCAAAAAAAAAATCTTGCACCAGGGCCCTTTGTTCCTTAGCTCCGCCACTGCTTTTATGCCACTAGATGTACTCAGTTTGACAGACCCCTTTATTTTGTACACTGCCTCTACGTCGATGGTTGTCAACTTACAAAGCATAGGGCGCCTCAGCTCACTTAAAGGTTGCACATAATAATTCTTATATGTAATGCTAAAGAAGACCATCGTACAATGGAGACTTGCTGGAGGAAATGGCCAGAGACTCTGAACATGCTACAGGTGTAGTTGGAGAC